AATGCACTTAAGCCTCCAGCCGACGCAGCTGGCTTAGCTGATACCACCACAGCAGAAGCAGATGCCCAACTACTAGACGATGCTACTGTTCTAGAATCGGATTCTCCCAAGAAGGCTCAAGCACCCATGAGCGACGAGGAAAAGATTGCGGCAATCAAAAAAGCACAAGAAGAAGCTGCTACTTCAGAGGCTATCAACAAATTAACTTTGACCAGGCGATACTATGTTGAGGCTCTTAAATTTATTGAAGTTTTACATGGAGCTACTACCATTATCTGTCAACTGCTCGGATCGAAGAATAAAAGCGAGGTTATTGAGGCTATGGACTACTTCGAAGTTGGCGATGCTTACAATATCGAACAAAATAAGCTTGGCATCAGAAGAATGTTACGTCTAATTTGGACCAAGGGTAATAGTGACGAAGGAAAGGGCGTTCAAAATCATCTTATTGATTGTTACAAACGTCTCTTTTTTGAGGCCCCTGATACATACAGTGGAAATGATGCTGCGAATTACGTTGCACGTAATATGATTAGTTTGACGTTTGGAGCGACACCGGCAGAATTAACCTCTCTTGAACAACTATTAAGCACCATGATGAAGGCAAATCATATTCCGGATCTCGTCATCTCAAAACTGTGGCAAGTCTATGGAGTCCAGAAGAGAGAAATTTCGAAGAGTCAGAGACGAGGTGCAATCATTGTGTTAGGTATGCTTGCTACCGCAAAGCCGGAAATTGTGGTTGGGGAAATGGAGACAATGTTAAGGATTGGTTTGGGGAGTCTCGGTAGATCAGACTTGCAGTTGGCCAAATTCACATGCTTAGCCCTGCGAAGAATCAACCCTACTGGAAGGCAAGCGACACAGCAAACTTCGAAGCTTAGTAATGATCATGCCGTCCTCGGAAAGTTGGCTGCTATTATCGAAGTGGAGTCTGATAATAGAGAGTGGTATGGTGTAGCTGAACAGGCGATTAGTGCCATCTATGCCCTTTCGAAACATCCAGACAACCTTTGCTCAGAGATCCTCCGAAGAAAGACGAAAAACGTATTCCAGCGACGAGCTGCGGTAACGCCTCAACCTAAATTGGATGAGGACAATGATACAGATATGATGGACGTGGATATGCCGGATATAGACGCCGAAGAGCAGGGACGGGAAGAAGAAGCGCCACCAGCGGAGACTGAAACTCCAGCACCATCCGAAAACAAGCAGAAGGGTTCTGTTGCATTATCGCAACTTCTATTTATAGTCGGACATGTTGCTATTAAGCAGATTGTGCATCTTGAGCTTTGCGAAATGGATTTCAAGAGGCGAAAGGTAGACGCTGAAAAGAACAAAGCAGCGGAGACACCAGCAGACAAGGCCGCGAAAGAAGCTGCCGATGATCTCGACATGATTGGAGGAACAACAGAAGATGATTTCACGGACGCCATGTCACACATCAGGGAACGTGAACTGCTATTTGGAAAAAATTCTCTACTCGCTAACTTTGGACCACTTGTGGCTGAAATTTGTTCTAACAATACAACCTACAAGGATCGCAACCTTCAAGCAGCTGCTACCCTTTGCTTGGCAAAGCTCATGTGCGTCAGCTCCGAATATTGTGAAACTAATCTTCCTCTTCTCATCACTATTATGGAGCGATCGAAGGACCCGATCATCCGTTCAAACGTGGTAATTGCTCTTGGTGATATGGCCGTCTGCTTTAATCATCTCATCGATGAAAATACCGATTTCCTCTACAGACGATTGAACGATAAGGATGCAAGTGTGAAGAGAACTTGTTTGATGACTCTCACTTTCCTCATTCTTGCCGGTCAAGTGAAGGTTAAGGGACAACTAGGGGAGATGGCTAAGTGTCTCGAAGATGACGACAAACGTATTGCAGATTTGAGCAGGATGTTCTTTACTGAACTGAGCACGAAGGACAATGCTGTATATAATCACTTTGTTGATATGTTCAGCTTGTTGAGTGCCGAGAAAGAGCTTGAAGAGGATGCTCTCAGGAGAATCATCAAGTTCTTGGCTGGATTTATTGAAAAGGTATGTTGCTACAATTTTTGTGTTTATTTATTTCACGGGAATTGATACTGATCTGATAACTAGGATAAACATGCCCGCCAACTTGCCGATAAACTGGCGGCTCGATTAGCTAGATGTGAAAGCGAAAGACAGTGGAACGATGTCGCGTATGCTTTGAGTTTGTTACAACACAAAAATGAAGAGATTACCAAGTTGGTACAGGGAGGGTTTAGAGTTGTACAGGCTAGTGCTTGAATTCACATCAAAGGTGTGTTTTAGGCAGAGATGAAAACTGGAATGGGCTGTCTTGTATCGGATTGTTGATGATAATGATGATTACGGTGTTAAGGTTATGATCATCGAGAAATGATTTCTGATACCTGGCGTTAGGTTGTATGATGTTTTAATGATCTTGATGAATATAAGGTTTTCCATATACAATACCAAGAGAAAACTTTGAAATGATCTCGAAGATGAGGATGAAATGGGTCATATTTACACTTTTTTCTTATATCAAAATGTGCATCTCCTCAGCTAGCTTCTCTACACTTAGATCACGCAGTTAGGTATATTATGTAGTGCTCTTAAAATTGTACCGAGAGAATACTAGGTACGATTTCCTTTCAACATTAAGTTCTCGATGAGAACTGGAAGCATCCGAGAAAAAATATAGTGAGCTCACCGGGGAAGTGGCCAGGGGAAATGGCCACTTCCTCGGTGAGCTTTTGGCATTCAATTTTTTCTTCTACCAGATATGAGGTGAGTACGACAGTTTGCATTTCCTCGCGTGTATTGCGATATCGTGATGATTTGTTGAGAGTGGAAGAATTGAAGTGTCAGGAACAGAATAGAGGGGAGTAGCGTAGAATCGTAATCACATCATTTTACACTCACTGTACTATCTATTGATAGGGTGAAATTTCAACATCATTCTCTGAAAAGAAAAAGGTAAAAGTTGAATAAAGTGACTATAATGGTTCTCTCTCGCCGTGAAATCCTACTACATTACCCGCGCCATCCATTTTCTTATTCATGGACTGTAATGAGAGTGAAATAAAGATGCTTCAAGCTGCCTACAAATTTCGCAATAAGGGTATCATGCATATGTTAATCGATCCGAATCGTCCTGCGACCTCCTCTCCACTTCCTTCCACGCCCTTTGCATCTCCTTCCTCTTTTTTTTCTTTCTCCTAATTGAGGATCTCTCTCCCCCGTGGAACACTACCGCTTAATTCCCAATACTCCACACTTCTACTCCGATGATATCAAATTTCTCCCCTTCCTCACTCAATGGCTCGTTTCCAAATGTAGGACAACTGCTACTTACGCCCTTCTCAAAGGTATCGTCTAACCAGAGTCCATAATGTCCATCTCCACCTCCTATTGATAAGAACCCTGCTTCGCAGAACATCATGTAGTCGTTTATTCCAGAGTAGGGGAAGGCTTTGAAGCGGATTCGTTCGGGCGTGCTGGCGCCTGATTTAATAGAGGAAGGGGATTTAGGAGGGGGTTGGGAGAAGGTTGGCGAGAGGAGTGAAGAGGGATGGGCGGGGTTATGGTTTTGATTTTGAGGAGCGCCGATGGTGGTTGAGCGTTGCAAGTTTGTTGTGTCGGAGGAAGGGGGAGGGGGAAGATTTGCTAGGAGTGAGGAAGAGAGGATGGTTGCGCGCCAGAGGAAACATTCTCCTGTGCCGAAATAGTGAGGTGCGGGGTGCGGTGCTTCTGTCAGGTATGCGCCAAATAACTATAGTCAACAATCTCATTAGCCAAATGCCCAGTCTCAAACGCGTCGCAAAGACCTCCAAGATAACAGCAAGACAAAAGATAAATAGAAATACGTACCCCACCCTCTCCATCCTTAACAACCAATACAAAGCCATTCCTCAATCCCCTCAAGTCATCACACTTCTTGTAAAGCGTCCCTAAGCTAACCCCATCCTGTTCCAAGCTATAAACCAAATTCCATTCCTCACACAACTGTAAGCGTGGGGGAACCAGCAATCTAATTTCCTCCGCCAATGCGCGACTCAACAACTGCGCAGAGGGATCTGTATTTTCTCTCCACCCCTTCAACGTCACCGGATACAAAGGCGGTGGTTGAAATGGCGATGCTGTTCGATGAGGAGGTGTGTAGACACCTTGAATACCATTTTGTGCTGAGGAGAACGAAGGAGATTGAGATTTTGCGAGATTGGAAGTATTGCTGTGATGATTCCCATTGCCGTTACCCGAATGAGTAGAAGGTTCGGTGGAAAAACGTCGCAGTAATCCAGTGACTGCGGTGGAAATGGTCGGGACAGCCCAACTTGTGGAGCTTGAGAGGGCGGGGGTAGAGTTGCCGGACGAGGACATGGGTGTTTCGTCGTGATAGCGATTATTTGGCATTGTGGATGGATGCGATTGTGAATGCGGTGTTGAAATAGTTTTACTGCATTAATGGATCCACTGGTATGTATATGTCGTGTATGCTATGCGCGTGTGCTCCTGGAACGTTTCGTGGTTTTGTTCCGAGGATAGCTTGGAACCTTTATATGATAGGAATGTGATAAGTATACCTAGCTTCGTGGAATGTATTTCAAGATTGTAATTGTAGTAATTGAAAGCAAGAATTCTATACTTTCAAAACTATCATAGTTGTACTTGAGTCATTGGTTGGAGTGAATTCACCCATTCGTGGTCTGATGAAATGAAAGATGTCGATTGTCGATTTCCAATTCCCAGTGCTTTGATTGTTGAAGGGGGGGGGGGTCCACTAAGTTTCAATTGGTTAAATTAGGTGAGATACGGATAAGGCTGAAAGGTGTGCGGGAGCCAAGAAATGTTTGTTTGAGTGGTAGATTTCAATGTTTCGATGCTAATGTTCATCAAAAGCTATTAAATTAACGTTTATATCTCATCTCGTCTTTGGATTCTCTTTATATATTTCTTAGCAAGATTTGATTGTTCCGTCCGATACATAAAACATATTTCCAATTATATACAAAATCCCAAGTCGACGGTTCAACGACATTCATAGCCGTTTTTGTACGTTATCAAAATGAACGATCGGATGATTTAATGTATGACAACCTTCGGAATGGATTCCCATCTAATCGTACATTGCATCAATTCAATATGCTGTATCACCATATCACAAATTACATACAAATCTGCACTTGAAACCCAAACAAGCAGATCATATGTCAAGAATCTTTCAATCATTAACGAGATATCTATAACTACCTGTTATCCAAGAATCTCTTAATCCCCTCAATAACACCTTCAGGACTTGGCTTCTCAGCACAAACATCCGGTTCATAATCAAAAGTATTCTTAAGATAATCCCTCGTGGTGGGTCCAATCGTCGCTATGAAGGTCTTTCTCTTCCCATCCTCCTGTTCATCCGCTCGTTCTATCTTCCCAGTTTGGGAATCTAACATCCCGAGTGATCGTAACATAGCATCGCATCCTGTCGGTGAAAAAACAACTACCCATCTCGTATCCCTATTCTCCGTCTCCTTCAATAAAGCTTTGAAATCTTCCTCAAAAGATTCCATTACTCCCGTACCATAAACCACAATTTCGTCGACTTGAATTCGCTTCTCGGCTGATAATTCTGGATCCATCAATGTTTTAGGAATGATATCTCTCCTTTGCTCTCCAACCATGAAAAGTAGAGATGGTTTTGTTGAGCGATCCTTATACCAATTCCCATAATGTTCTAGCATGTAATGTGCTAACGCTTCTCCATTTCCTGATTCGGCTCCAAATATATTCAAGGCGGGGGTTTGAGGTGTCGATCGTAATGCTCGTGAAGTAGCTGGGCCGACGGTATAGACTGGTATATTTTGTAGATGTGGCCATCCATCGGTCTCTAGAGTATCATTAGTAAATGATCTAAACGCTCAATCAAATAAAATTCAACACATACCACCTTCATTCTTCCCCTCCTCCACCAGCTTAGCAAATAATTCCACAGCCCTCTGACTTGTGAAAATCAAGCCTCCGTATTTCTTTCCCTCTTCATTCCCAATGCTCCTCTCCTTAAGTAACCTCTTAACCTCATCCACTCCTTCATCCACAAACCTATGTTCCAATACCGGCACAAAAATCGGGTCAAACCCCCTTTCACTCCCCTCCACCCCTCCCCCATACCTCATCGCATTAAAGGTCACTTCCTCAAACCTCTCCTCGTACCCATCATTCGGCACACTCTTCGTCTTCAATAAAAACGTCGGTATTCTACCCATTCTTTCCATTCCTCAATTTCCCTTCTCTCCTATCTTCCAAGATTCTTTCGTGTCGTAATTTCTGTAGATCCAAACGTCAAAACCTCACGATCGTGAAAAGGACATGAAACTTTATCCATCCATCCCACTTGCGGGGCACATGTCGGAGAAATGACGATTAGCCTCTGCTCCAAGCTATCAGAACCACACCTCTTGCTATTCGTCAATGACATGTCAATCTTTTAAGCTTAAACCATACCCCTGTACCCCTGTACCCCCATGCGGAAAATGCGGAAAAGGCCGATCATTTTCCTTTTCTTACAAACCAGAGCTTCAATTATTAATGGATCTAGACATTTTTGTACATTTTCCAGATTTCATATATCTTTCATCTAATCTTCTTCCTTTATTCGAATAAGAAAAGTGAAAATGGCAGACGATACACAGGATGAAATCACAAATACATCTGCCGTGAGCGCGGTCGCTCCTCCAAAAAAATATCCCAAAGGTGTAATCTTGGGAAAAGATGGAAAACCGTAAGTCATACATACTAATTCCCCTCCCCTCCCCTCCCTCCTCTCAACCACATCTTACCACATCCCCTACATCCACGGAAGCCCCAACTAACACTCCCTCCCCCAGCTGCCGCTCCTGCAACTCCTTCGCTTCCTTCACCAGCACCACCAAATCTCTCCAAACCTCGCAAACCTCCGCACCCAGCACGCCCAGCCCACCCACCGACTGCCCCCCCGACATCGAAACCCTCGGCCGCGCCTCCTGGACCTTCCTGCACACACTGTCTGCCTCGTACCCCAGCACCCCCACCCCTACCGACCGCACCAACATCTCCACCTTCATGAGCCTCTTCTCCCAACTCTACCCCTGCTGGACCTGCGCCTCCGATTTCCAATCCTACATGGCCGAAAACAAGGTGCGCACGGAAAGTCGCGCCGAGTTCGGGAAGTGGATGTGCGAGGCCCATAATGATGTGAATCGGAAGTTGGGGAAGAGGGAGTTTGATTGCGAGCGCTGGGAAGAGAGGTGGAGGACGGGCTGGAGGGATGGAAGATGTGGGTAGGAGAAGAGGGAGAGTTGTAATGAGTTCAGGAGCTTGAAAATGAATTCGGGAATCTACAAAGAGGGAGTTGGGGCTGGGTTAGTGGCAAGGTATATTATGATCTGGTGAAGTGGGCAGAGGTTCGAATATGAAAACATGGAAGAGATGGTCTTGTGAAATGGAATGGGAGGATGTATTATATGAATGGGGAGAAGGTGTACGATATGATATATGATGAGATGAGACAAGATGAGGTGTATGATATAATGGCCAATCCAGCATAATCCAGCGTTTCGGAACAAAATCAAGAAGATTTGTGCATGGAGGGAGGTAATCTCGACTCGAAAAATGTATATGAATTTGAGAAGAATTCTCTTCTCATGACAACTGTATATGAATTTAAGAAGAATTCTCTTCTCATGACTACACTAAGAAAGCACAAGAGTATAGGCTTGATGTATAAAGCTGATCTATTTCGCTAATGATCTGGTGCTAACTTTAGTCGCTGGCGTATGCTACCTTCTAATCAACATCTAAAAATACAATTCACACAATTCTTCTTCCCCCTACCATGACAATACATACAATCGCCCATCTACTATCTTAATCGAACAGATATGTATCAATCCCACTTCCTCAACATCAACTTCTACCAGCTTTCCGTTTGCTGTACAGGTTCCACTACATTGATACATATCGAACTCAATCTCTCCTCGAACACTCCAATCTGTCCCAATTCAGAAGTAGTTTCTCGAAGCCGTAAAATGAAACTTTACGAGCAGGACCCTTATCATTCATACCAGAATCAGAATCTTCGTCGTCGGCATCATCGGTACCATCAGTATCATCCATTTCCGCCTTCTTCTCGCTGTTCTCGCCAAATTTTCTTCTCTCTCCATTGGATGCATAAGCAGCAACACCAAGACTCAAACCCCTAAACCCAACCCCAAAGAAAACCGAAGTGGTATTACCACGTCTTTTCCTTTTTTTCTGTCCTTTTACCCCGAGGGAATTCAAGCCCCAGCAATCGGCATGAAGTTCTTCAATATTGTTATCCGCCTCTAATTTTGTGAGTGTGCTCCTGCTTTTATCATTGGTCTTTTGCGCGGATCGTGCAACAACATCCGATTGATCTGGTGGCTCTCTATCTTCATTACTATTCCCACTACCTGGGTTCGAATCATGACTTCCCCCAGATCCCGAATATTCTTTATCTTGTCGATCTTGTGGTGCCCGTTGACGACGATTGACTGACCCTGGTTCAGGACAATCATCATCACTTGACGATGTCTCGTCTTTCTCACTGTTTTCTTCATGAGATTCACAGCTTGAATTTGAACCTGACCCCTTATCTTCTTCCTCTTCCGTGTCTGAGCGTCCCTCATTCGGCTGTTGGAGAATTGATACTGCTTCTCTCAAGTTTGTTTGGGAGCCCACATCAGCGAAATCCATGATTCTATCCAATAGCAAGGGTCGATATCCATTTGATCTGTTAGAAATCTCATTACTGACGGGCCGGGCGAATGTTGCGACCATCATACGAAGAGAGCCTGGAGCTACACGGCCATCTTGAGTGGATGAATTAGATTCATTTGGGAGAAATTGAACAGGAGCTAAAGAGCCTGGAGTTACAAGACTAGCTTGTGAAGATCGATCAAAATCGCTCTCAAGATTTCGAATATCAAGTGCAGAGATTGAGGCTGATAATATAGTAGTCATTGTCGTCCTTGAATCCGAAGGTAAGTCGTTATGAGATATCGATGCACTAGTAGACGACGCAGTCACCATCGTCATGGTAGAAGTTGATGAAACTGACAATATATTTTCACTTACAAATGGCCCTTCTTCAGGAGCAATATGTGTATCGTTTCTTGCTCTCCCGACCACTTGCATCTGCATGTATCTATCCTCACCCCCCGCATACGGATTCTGATCCTTATCTTCGCATTGCCGAGCAATCAAGGTGGAGGAGGTCTCCAATAATCGTGGATCGCTTTTAATATTGATCTCTTTTTCTTCTGCTTTCGTTGCACTGGGGGTCGCACTGAGGCTCGTGTTGGAGGGGATGGCACTGCTGGTGCCCGTGCCCACGATGGTACTGGGTTGTCTGATGGCTTCCAATACTCTTTTATTGCTCTCAGAACGCGTTTGCTCTTGCTCTGCCGTTTCTGCACTGGAGCTGGTCGCAACGCTGTCGGTGGCCCTTCTGATACCCATATTGTTCGCGTCTGTACTGGGTAACGTGGTGGGTTGGGTGTTGGCTTCCAATATTCTTTGATCGCTTTTAGAACGGATCTTAGTTTTTTATACTTTCGTTTCTTGGGTGGTGCTCCAAGACTTGCTATGTGGCTTGCACTAGAGCTGACGCTGAACCTGGACCTGGGACTGGACCTGGAGTTGGACCCAGAGCTGGACCCGGAGCTGGAGCTAGCACCGATTATGAAAGTGGTTCTAGCAGTGGCGATTGCGCTGGAGCCGTCTTTCGAAACTTGTTCATCAATCTCTGAAGTCACTTCTGTGCTGCAATCACCTGTTTCTTGCACCAGTTCCTTTTCCTCTTCTTTGGTTCCAATTCCTATATTATCGTTCTCTCCACGGAACTGACTAATGGGGGACTTTGACGGCGTTGCCATCTAGGTTTTTGAGGCGAGTGTGATGCTTGTGGTGGTTACCGCACTAGAGATGCGTGTCGCGAGTGTTCTCTCGACGTCGACTGCACCACTGTCTCTGGAGATTTGCTTTCCTCCGCCGAGTTAGACGCTTGAGATAATGTTCCTCTGACTTCCTGATTCTCCTGATGCTCTTGAGTCTGCTGCGAATCCATCGACTGTCTAGTGACAAACTCTCAACGTGTGATGCACCGATGTAAAGAATAAGACAGTAAATCTATATCCCAAAACGAATGTCGACGAGAACAAAACTACCTTAGCAACAAGCCAGAAGCAAGAATTGTATAAAGAAAACGAATGTTATGGTTATTGCTATTGTAAATCTATAAATTATGGATAAGTAGTAAGAATTATGAGTTGGTGATGAGAAGAGAGAAAAGAAAAGAAAAGACGAAAAAAATCAAAGTCCTCTCGGGTTTAAATACGATGAATTGAGTAAATAAACACACCAAATCGTTCTTGCTTCATGTAATGTGGAAATAGCATGTACATCACTATTATCCCCTTCTACTCTTCCCTCCTTAATCTGTCCAAACCATATCCGGAAACCGCGATGCAGTCGAGCCACGAACTTGATCTCATGAGAAATGGACAGAGAAGAAAGAGGATTTGACTAGGAGGAGTAAAGTATACTACCAGGTACTACTAGGTACAACTAGGTAGTCCACATAGATAGATGCCTAGATATGCAGAGATCCCGCGCCCGAGTATTTTCAGAAAGTTTCAGCAATTTCGATGTATTGTATTCAATACATCTTTCCTCTCACAAATTCGAGATATCGAACTATCGAACTACGTCAGGAAACCACATTTCTACAAGACTACGAGTGCCGAATATGAACGATCACAAATAACAGCAGAACCGAATTACCAAAGAATATATACTCATGATTGGAAAATCACCACCAACCGGAAAAGGAGGGAAAAAATGTTCTTTCTGCTCGCTAAACGATTGGTTGCTAGTACGAGTTTATCACTACTACATTTATTCATTCATCCCCTCGGACTTCCTTGCTCATCTGATAACAAACGCGTATTAAAAGAACTGCGATATACACAATACTTTTGTGTTCAAATTTAAGGTGCGGCTATGTAAAAAACGCACTTTCTTCCATCTTCCGTCTAAAACGCCTGGAATCCGATCCCAACTCCGACCCTTTCCCATGCGACTTCATATTCTAAGTCGTTTCGTATGATATCATGTGTTGTATCATTTGTATATACAATCATCAACCCTCTCCGTTTCCCAATCCCGACCCAACCGCAAAGGAAGATGAGCACAAGTGCTCCTCTATCACAGTTCATCTTTATTTCCCTTCTTATCCCCATCCTTCCCGGCCACAATCCTCTCCAATGTCTCGAACACCTCTTCCGCTTTCTCTTCAACCTTGTCCCTGACTCTCCCTCTCCTCTTCTCCTCCTCTTTGCCATCATCCTCTTGTCCTTTAACTTTATACTCCTCTTCTTCCCCAATCTCTACGTTCGCCGCATACTCCGCAATCCTACTAACAACCATTTCCTCAATTTGCTCGCCCCTACCTGCCGCTACTCTCAAAATCAAATCATTCAAGCTTTGTCTTCCCAGAATATCCACATGATCTCCGGTATTTGGACCTCCACGAGGACTAAAACGATCTGGTTCGTGAGGCATTTCGTAAGTCTTAATTTTTATACCTGCTGGATTATAGCGATGATATTTCCAGCCACGATTACACATGTAACCGACACTGAGTAGATTGACGGTTCCATCACCCTCGCCAAGAATCACGCCGTGATCTATATTAGCTTGGGATAAACCGGTGTCGATTGTAATATTGAGGGACGAAAGGGGATTATCCGAGTGACGGTAGAAATAAGCACGTTCAGTTGGTTTACCGATACCTGTTGAATATTAGCATTGGTAAAGGAAAAGCTTTGATGATAGAACAGCATACCATAGAAACAATAAATCTTCAGATTTGGCGCGAGAGGTAATCGTGTTTCAAGTGGATTGATCCATTTTTTTGGATCCTTTTCATTTGCTTCCACTTCAGCTGTAGTATGGGCTACACCATGCGAATAGCTACCCTTGACTGCCTTAATATACCAATCTTCCGTGGTATTAAATAGATAGTCTAGAGATTGCGATACCGTAAGATTTCGATACCCCGTTGATGTATTTTGGTTTTTGAAATTCAGGAATTGTCCATAGCTGACTTCCTGACCTGGAGTATCATCTGGTGCCCAAGTTGCATTTCCCCAAACAGCATCGCCTCCAATTGGGAGCATGGAAGAGATTCCTGGCATGGCTCGGAAGAGCTCGGCTCGTTCTTCTTTATTGAGGAATTTTTCGAGGCCATAAACTGCAAATGCATTTAGTTGCGCGGTATCTTTCATCTCTCCTGATAGCACAGCAGGCAATCCTTTGAGAGCTCCGAGCATGCATCCACTAATATTGATCCAAGAATCAACATATTTATCAACCCAATCATCTCCACCGTTTCCGCCACTCGAAGATGCTACCCAATGCATGAAATAGAACAGCACTTGACCACCCATAGAATGCGAAACCAAGACCACCTTTTTGTTTGAAATTTTACTGGCCAATTCGATATGCGTCTTCAATCTTGTGAAGTATTGATCTCTCACCTCCAAATTCGCATACGACAATCTCCAATCATAAGCCGCCGTGTAACTATTCGTAGGATCGTAACCAATCGTCGCCAAGTTCTCCAGTATTTTACTCCAAATCCAATATCCCGTTATGAAGAAATCGGCAGCGTCAAATCCTTGCGCAGCTCTCAATTTGATTCCGGGAGGATCCAGTCCAGTACGCTTGTCTAACATAATATGTCTTTTCCATCCTTCTTTGTCGGCAACTAAAGCTCTCATCATAGTCCAACTTCCCCACAATCTTTTGCGAAAATAAGGTCGTGAAGCATTAGTCGTACCCCAAGATTCCAACCCCGTCGAGATGACACCTGGAACCATAATGACTGGATGATGTGCAAGAATTCCCTGCGACTTGAGATGTAAACCCACAGAGAATGAATCATAATTCACAGCTTCCCTTTCTCCCTTCTACAAACAAACATTCATTAGCCTCACATTTAACCCGAAACCTTCCCATACCCAACTTTCCCCTATAACCGAAAGAGGGATACAATACAGAAAGGCCAGCACCTACAGCCAGATCCCTTGCATCCTTCACAAATCCCGCAGGCAACACATCCATCAGACTATCCATCGTAATCCCCTCCAGCATTTCCGGCAACTCGAGTAAATCATTCTTGCCCGCGAAAAACCCCGCTATCACCAAGCCAAAAAGTCCACCGAGGAAAAATATAAATGTATTGCGCCGCTTTCTATGTTTCCGTTCTTTATGTGTGAGGACTCGAACTACGGGCGCGAGACGCACCTCTTCGCCTTTTGAGGGGGAAGAAGAACGGGTTGCTGGAATAGAGGGGGAGGGGGATGGCGTCGGAGTCCCGAGGAATAGGCGGCGGAAAAGGGACATGATGAGAGAGCGAAGTTAAGAATTTATGGCGAGAGAGAGAGTGAGCAAGAGAATGAGAAGAAGCAAATAGATATCAAGTCATCTCTTCATTGTCAGAAAATGGAAAGTCGAAATATGAAGAAAGGGAACTTTTTGTTCACAAATAATTTGGGATCGATTATATCGATCCTTCTAACTTGAACCTGCCAAGCTACGTAATCGCATTGATCTAAATTGTTTGCGTGCTTAGCGGCTTGTTCGGAATTTAATGTTTTCCGTTCTCATATTAATTTTTGATTGGTTAAAAATAAAGATTGACAGGGGATACATGAGGTATTTTTACATGTGAAGAAAGAAACAAAAACTTTCCCCCAAAACATCTCAGGATTTCAGGATTTCAGGATTTCAGGATTTCAGACACTCAATCATATTTTACCGAAGTTTATCCAGGAGCGGCCAGTTCCAGTGAGCCAGTCCAACCTATCGGATCATTATCATCATCATTTGTCCCGTCGTCCCCTCCCCTCCACCCCTCCACCCCTCCATCAAGATTCATTCATCCCATGCATCACAAGATACCCAAGACATCCAACATAAGTAGAGACCTCACGAGCAACCATTTCGATAATTTCTGCAAATATGGCTTCAGAAATCAGCTCTATAACACCTGAATCTACAAGCAACAAAGATTTACCAGCCGAACTACGATATATACAATATGAGCATTCACTCGAAAAACAATATTTACCCTCCATTCGAGCCCTGATATCCAAAGATTTGAGCGAACCCTATAGTATCTATGTGTATCGATATTTTCTATACCAGTGGGGAGATTTGTGCTTTATGGTATTCCTCCCTTTTCATTTCCCCCAAAAGACAAACAATCAATAAATTGATTCATTTCCAAATACAACTAACATTCCCCAGGCACTCGACCCCTCTCTCCCTCTAACCCCCACAACTACCCCTCCTCTCCACGGCATCCTTATCGCCAAACTCGAAACCCATTCCTCACACTCCCCACCCACCCTCCGCGGATATATAGCCATGCTCGCAGTTTCATCCTCATTTCGCGGTCAGGGCATCGCAACCAAATTGGTAAAATTGGCCATTGATGCGATGGCTGCCAGAGGAGCAGACGAAATAGTTCTAGAAACCGAAGAGGGAAATGTGGCCGCAATGAGATTATATGAACGATTGGGATTTGTGAGGAGTAAGAAGTTGAACAGATATTATTTGAATGGGAGTTGTGCATATAGATTGGTGCTGCATTTGAAGAGGGTGGGCAACATGAGTGGAATGGTGGAGGGAAGGGATGATGATTATGTTTAAGGTCTATTCGTGAGGGAACATGAAACACCTATTGATGGTGAAAGACCAATCTTCGAACGTCTAGTACTATCGCAAAGTAAGGGCGGTTTGGAGGTAGGGATGGGAACGAAACAGAGGTAGTGATATGGGGTCCCGGTGACAAGGGGAGAAATGCTGAGGATACATGATGGGATTCTGCATTCAGTCTTATACCCTTGTCCCAACTCATCAGCACCAACATGCGGTTAACTGATAAAAGAGGGTTTCCGTACAACTTGTCAGTCAAGAATAGTTCCTGAGACGGCGATGGCAAGGAAGAAGAAGATAGTCAGTTCAGATACGGGCCCGCCCCTATCATCTTTGTATGAAGAAATTTGATAACCGACCAAAAGAGTAAGTAAGGGTTATTCACTATCCTTAAGGGATCTTTGTACCAGTTGATACAGTAAGATACTAGACAACTCCAATCTTACCAGCTTGTACTGAAAATAATTATCTGTAAATTTCAAATTTGAACACTCCATTCATCAAACTCGACTCTTTAAATCAAACTCCGGGAATTTCAGAACGATGCCTCCTTTAAAGACGCCAGGTAGCTGCTCATTTCATATCATTCTCCTCACCAAATAATAGATAGATAGATCGATACCCAGGTAAGTAGGTAGGTAGGTAGGTAGGTACCCCATAAAAAGAAAGAAAGAAATATATAAATATAAACCTCAACACAAAACCCAAACCCCACCTCACTATCTTCTCTCTACAACCCATCTCATCTACTTTAATCTATCTATCCTCTTGCATTCTATTTTCCTATAAATACATACCTAGGTACGTATCACAAACGCAAAATACAAACTACATAGCCTCATGATAGATTCTTCTACTCTAGAAACTTTGTATTCGAGATAGCGAGCCGATAACTGGTGATGGCGAGTGAGTACCTAGTAGCTAGTAGCTAGGTTTCTACTTCTATGGAGATTGTTATTTGTGTAGATACACAAATCTTTATAGGTATCTATAGGTATCTATTCAAAATTCGAATCCGGCCTGATTATTCATGATTAATCGTGGAGTGAAGAAAGGAAATGGTTGTTCGCTTGAGGTTATTGAATACTGTATGTGGGTTTGGTAAAATGCATATGTTGCTTGCTTGCTTACTTCCCTAAAGCTACACTGATATTCTAGCTAGATTTCTGAATGAGAAACTCTCTGGGAGAAGATATTCCTAATCACGAGCTGATTCGCTGTAGCTAGCTTTACTAACATCGTGTCGGGAAAACATTCATGGTAGTATCATTGTGATTGTGATTGATCTCAACACAATTCCAGGTCCTCAGAGCGCTGGGAAAAAGGAAAACGTGTTGATACCCCTTGAGCATTCTCTTCTCAAAAATCGTCACATGCATCCTCAAGCCAGATCAGACCGTAATTCTCACCCCTCAATTTCTCAACCAACCCAGCATCTTATTCATAATTTACCTGATGCAGAGCCAAATCACTTGGTTCCTTCTTGATTTTCCGAAAGAACGAATCCACCTTCCCATTTTCCTTTTTGAAAGCGTGAGATCTTAATCCAGCGGCTGTGGAAGGAGGAAGAGGAGGATTTTTGAAAAATTCAAAGGAGTTGTAGAGAGAGGCTTTGATATCGTAGGGATTGTTGGAGGAGAGTTCGAGGTAGGTGTATACATCTAGTGTCCCAATGGTCAATCTCGTTCCACCAACGCAACCTCGTCTAGCTCTTTGATAGGATATAGAGAGATATATAAGGCTTACTTACCGGCTTTGTAATAGATCGCGCCTTTTAGAGTCCGGTCAACCAACCCTAATTCTCGAATGGCTTTCAAGACTCGATACACATCCATCTTGTCTGAGAAATCTTCGGTGTAGATACATACGAGCCGTGATTTTTGAAGCAGGCCCATTCCATCTCTGGGTGCTACTTTAGCGGATATACCGAGAGAATTGGTGGAGGTGGCCTTGGCAATTGCGGCCCAGATTTCGTCTACTTCGGAGGGAGGAGAAAATATCATCCACTGAGGAAGAGTTAATGTTAGAGTTCAAACGTGGACATGGTAGAGAGGGAAAATTGGAATGTCTGGTGACTCGGATGTAAATATCCGATATGTATTGAGGGCTATCCGAGAACTACTCGGACACTAAACAGAGGGGTAAGCAGCTAAGATGTCCGGTGCAACAACATAAGCGAGATACACATGCCTTCCCACTAGTACATCCAGAATCAATAGCTGTATCTAGAATTTTCTGGACAAGGATCTCTTTCTCTTTATTTATCATCCGATCGATTGCAACTGTGGACTTCTTTGGGTTTTCTTTCTCGATGGTATTTCGAATAGTGATCAGTTCGTCAAGTAAACGATTCCCCTCGGTTACACACCTCGCCCAGCTATTTACAAGATTAGTATGTGAAATATGCTTCTCCAAATTCCCTTGGTCTTGGTATCCAGTATCACTCACTCGGAATGTTCTCCAGGAGGGGCTTCATCGTTTACCGCAGTACCTTTTGGAACCTTTCGGAAAGGATTGGTAACATATATCCACGGAGTTGATGGAGTAACTTCAGTACTTCTTGGTGGCATTCGTCGCAAGAAATCATCAATACTCTCATCAAGTTGCCATGCACATGCTTGACCTGCATACGGATTATACAAAGTTGCTTTGGATTCCGGATTTGCAAGGGCTTGGGCAACATTGGAATCTGCTTTTTCCGTTAAAGTTGGTTGATGGCTTTTCCAATATGCTGTAGCTTCGAAGTCTGCAGCACGTTCTTCAAAGGACGCTTTGGTTTCAGGATCACCTAATGTGAGGGTTAGCAGTGGGATAGATGAGGCACCATGGCTGAATTACCATAGAAGTCTGATTCATCTGATAGATAACCTTCGTTTTCTAATCCTTTGGTTTCTTTTCCATTCGCCATGATGTTTTTGGAAGAGACTTTCCCACACGAACTCTCGGGTGACAAGTGAGTGAAGTTGAAGTTGGAAATTGGAGAAACACGTAGATGAATTATTGATGTGTACACGTAAAGCGGGTATTATATGACCACTGGATCAATGAATATTGAATAGATAAAAGTAATAGTATTAAGATATGTATGGAAAGAGATGTACCAATTAACAAATTGGACGGAAGATGTGTTGAGGGGAATTCACTTCAAGGAAGGTTATGCACGGACCACAGAATGTTGTCTTTTGATGGGCATCCAAATCTTGCTTTCTAGGACGAGAAGCAGAGGTGATTTAAGTCAATTGAGATATTGAGCTTGTAGAACTTTCGAATGTTTGATGGTTGGTGCTTGGTTCCGATGTTTTGGAGTTTGGGGATACCTACTTAGTTATTGATATTGAAGTCCATATTGAAATGACATTTCCACCTAGAAGTATTCATCCCCTAGACCTGTCAACGGCAAACATGTCCTGCATACGTTTTCCTCCGGGGATGGAGGAAGCAAACACCCGAATGCATAGCAAACCACAGGGGTTCGTAGATGTTTGTAGATGTTTGGTGAAGAAGCAGTACGTAGTATAAATGGCGATATGGTTATGAAAGGAATGGAAACGAAGCGAACATTGTGTGGTACTTATTGTGCCTCGATCCGCCGCTGCCCCTCAATACATTCGAGGAATATATTGAGGCGGCGAGCGGGATATATAGGAAGGATGAGGATTGATGCGCAAAAGAGAATCCATTGGGTACCTACCTAGTACCTACTAATCCTTTTTGACTTTGTGACTTCTTCCAAGGTTGTTCTAGATCCCGAGGTCTCGCAATTAAACCCTCCAGGGCTTCTGGTGACTTCATCACATGTGGTGGCGGTGCAGTGCAATGTGGCTTGAATTCACAATACTTTTCCTTGGAAACATTTAAACCTTGAGACAAGATCAACATAAAAAAAAAGAAACGAAACATTTAGAACAGACATCTCTTTCTCTCATTGCACTCACTATATTGCTAGGGGAATCTTTCATGAGAAACGACTCCTCCATGCCAAAAAACCATCAATCAATCAAAAATGGCCTCAAAGATCGAAGTCCTTGATTCTGATCTCTTGGACCTCCCTCCAAGTTGCATAGAATTTTGGCCAAATAACCCTTCATGGTTCGTGATTGGTACCTATGAGTTAGACAAGGAAGACGAAGACTCATGGGTAAATGTTGAGAAGGCTTCGAGTGAAGTTGTTGTGAAAACAGACTCTTTTCCCAATAAAGAAGGAATAATCTCTTCCGCTCCTTTGAGTTTAGTCGATTATTCTCACGAACCACTGGTTTTTGTGGAAGATAGCGATGTTATTTCGGAAGAATCGAAAGACCAATCAGAACCTCCATCGACTCTCCAAAAAAGAAATGGGAGTGTAATGCTATATCATCTTGAGGATGGTTCCTTGTAAGCATCATTCGCGAGCTTATGTCCTTCTTGTCACCTCTGATATGATTAGGACCCTTTGCCAATCACGTCCATATCCATATGGTGCGATTTATGATCTTCACTTCTGTCCCACCGACCAAGATTATTTTGCAGTTTCCTCCAGTACGGGCAGAATATCTCTCTTCAAAATAACGACTAATGAGGATACTTCTCCCGATATCGAACACGTCAATACATGGAAAGTATTTGATGATTCCGTTTTGATCACCTATTTTGCATGGTGTCCTTCAACATCCACAGATGGCTACCTATCTTTAGCTGTAACAGCTTCAACCGGAGTCGTTCAGATACTTAACATTACTGGCGCTATATACGGCAAGATACACGGTTCGGACTTACACATGAGAAAGGAAGAACCGCCAGTATCATTGCATTCCTTGAAAATTCCATATTCTGGCGAGGAGCCTCAATATGCATATTGTTGCTATTGGGCTTGTCATCCTTACACATCTTCCGAAAACTTCCACGGGATCTTTTCAGGAGGCGATGATTCGAAACTCCGAACCTGTATTCTAGGAAATCCCCGTAATAGGGATAACCATGTTGATTTGAATTTACAAACGTCATACTCGGGGCATGATGCTGCTGTTATCTCTATTTTACCATTACCATGCGGGGGTAAAAGATGGATTCTCTTAACTGGTAGTTATGACAACAAAGTCAGAGTCATTGTCATGGAATGGTCCCACGGCCCAGTAACGTACGATCAGCTTGCAGAGGAAACACCAATCGATGTTGTAGCAGATTTGGATGTTGGAGGTGGAGCATACCGACTTGAATTCCTCCACGAATATCCCAGACCAACCGAAAACGAATCCAGAATTGAGTCCAGCGACGATATTTCATTCCAAGTACTAGCGTCATGCATGGAAGTCGGCGCAAAAATCCTAAAAGTAGAACGAAAGGATAGCATCTGGAGCGTTAAAGTCCTCGCATCCATTAACATCGAAATTCCCAAATGGCCAAACCCAACCAACAAATCTCAATTATGTTATGCCAGCGCAGTTCAGCCTGGTAGAAGAGATGGAGGTCTGGTATTTCTAAGCTCCTATTTTAATAAGAGACGACTGAGTGGCACACCGAAAAAAGTACAACCTACTATCACGAATGAAGAGATGATTTTCGTTAGCACGTGTTTTAACAAGCGACAGTTGGGTGTCTATAAATTTGTGGAGGGGGGTAATGATGAGATTGACGAAATTGCAGCTGGAGTTGAAGCTCTTTGAGCATGAAATTTTTTGAATGATGGAAAAATTGGAACGTTATATTCTTAATACTCGCATTGCTAAAACTCTGCAGTTAATGAGCCGTCGGATGAAAGCTTGTTGGAGGATATTGCCGATAATATCACCAGCATCAAGATGGAAAAACACCTCGCATGTCAACAGACATTAAATCTTTGGGGGAATGACCTTAAGAAGGAACATCTGTATTTAGTTAAATATCCTGACTCCAAAAGGTATTCGAATTGTATTATATATCGCAATGCAATTTGCTTGATAAGAAAGTTTTCATGTCAGACGAATTCCACTCACTTAGCAGACAATTCCTTCTGAGCCCAAAATTTTCTCAATACAATAATTACAATACCACCGAAATTAATACATACAATCGGTTTCACCAGTCTATCCATTTCGTACGTATATTCTAGGCTTCATCATATAAACCAATCACACACTCCCGAGATCAGGCTCCTTCATAAGCGCCAATCACGTTACCCGAGCATCAGGCTACCACATTTTCCCATATCATCGGCTGTGCCGTTTCCCCCTGTTCTTCTTCATGTAAATTATGCTTCCTTTACTTGGCAAGACGCGAGATTGAGATTGAAAACGAGGGATTGTGGAATATGTACATATATCATACTCGCGTAGACGAAAACCATCAATTTCTTTCCTTTCTCGCGCGATTTTTGAACTATCATTTTGTATTTGTGTCATCTGGGATTTATAACATCTTTTCTCCTTTAAGACGAATCATCGATATATCCTACGCCCCGCCTCTGCCATTCAACGCGATTCCTCCACCATGGACTCTCTACCCCCACCCCTTCTCCTCCCCGTCCTGCACCCCGCTCCCTCGGCCAAAACATGGCTCACACGATCGGAGTCTTCCAAGCACTCATCGCGTTCCCCGTGATGAATACACGCGGGAGTATTCACATTCTGGTGTTTAACGCTAGATGCTAATTTTACCATTTATGAATTCGTGTATGTCTACTTACTCCATCTCTATGGATATTGTGTTTTTCATTTTTTGATCCTCCCTTGTGTCTCTCTCCTCCATGATAACTAATAAAAGATTCTAGAAATTCCCTCTCAAACGCCTTTTTCTCCGCTTCAATATTGTTCATTATCATCACTCAACGAGGGGGAAATAGTGGGGATATCAGTAAAGAATTTATGGTTTGGTTAGAAGTCGCAAAGAGCGGTTTTGCGAGTGCGGTTTGGCTTTGGTTACTTTTTGTAAGTTTTACTTTTTTGCTTCTGAGAGTCTGTGTGAGGATGAAAAAAGACGAAGAGAGCAGGGGAGAAGAGCAATTTGTATAAATTGTACTAGGTGGTAAAACTCCCGAGCTAATCAAAATTCATTTAATAATAGGATAGCATCTTTGGTCCCGTCCATAACTCCTATAATCAACCGCAATCACGAACGCCCCGCATTGCACAGGCGATTATTAGTTTTCTTGGTTTACCGTATGTGTTTCCCCCTCCTTCTTTTACGTTCGTTCACTTATTCTTTTATTTCTACCATATCACTCTCGTTTGGGTTTCCTTCTGTGCTATTTCATGGAATCTTAACAATAAATCTACACCCCATCCAAAACTAATCTAACCGCCCTCACCCCCATAATAGTCTCCTCTTCTATTCTACTCTCGCCTTCGCTATTTACGATCTCAAAACAAGTCGGAAATCCGAACTGAATGTAAATTTAGGACTAGCAGGGAGAGAAGCGAATTTAGATGAAGAAGCTGCTGCGGGAGAGACATCGCCTCTCTTGCGCAGGGCGTAACTTTCTGGTTTAGATTGTCGAGTTTGTTTGACAATTTGGGCTTGCGGTATGGCTGTATAGATGGATTGGAGAAAGTGAAATTAAGAGAAGGAAGAGATGAGGGAAGAGAAGATAACGAGCATCAATGTATTGAAGAAATGGGATATAGAGAGCATTGTAAGGTTTGTGAGAGTGGCATCATGTGAAAACGGAGAGGCAACGAAGTGAGATTAGAAATTTGAAATGGGAATCATGTTGCCCAAGAATTTCAGCATCGCCAGTGCTACCATTGAACCCGTCAAACTCCAACCCAGATTCGTTGGTTCGATTGTTGTGAGCTTGAGTGTTGCTCCTGTGTAGGACTCGCTCTAATCTAATTTTCTAAGAAGTATTCCAGATGATCCAACCAATCATAGGATCTCAAGATTTCGGTTCCAGAGACATCTTTCTCTGAGGTTGTGTTCACTACCCAGACAGTCAGACCTATGCCACTCGACAAGCACAATTTTGTACATCAGCAATCATCATCTAAACTTGGAATACAACTACATAATCTTCATTTGTAACTGAGCAGTCAAGAACAACGTTCTACATTCAGCAACTAATTTAACGGCATAATTTTTCCTCGAACTCCAATATGAATTTTATCACCTCAACCAATAGATATCGCAATCATCCTGCACCACCCTAAATCCATGCCACCATTGCACTTACGCAACAAGTTTCAATCCACTTCCATTCTTACCAACCTCACAGACACCACATACTGCACAGGCAGTACCCTTATACTTAGCTTGATATTTGCTACCATCGAATGCGCAAACTTCGAATGGAGAGCCAGAGTAAATTGGTGTGTGTGAGGCAGCACAGATATCGAATTCAGCAAATTGATCAAACTCAATCTCATGGGTATCGTTGGGGTTGCGCTCACAATTGGCCTTGATCTTACGAGCCTAAAAATCTTGTCAGTTGATGTCATTAAATCGTGATGGGGAGCTGCTTACATTCTCAAGAACCTTGGCACTTCCACCGTTTGCTAACATCCTGTTGGCGAAGCTCAACGCGGAGTTATAGTTCTTGCTGGTGAAAGCCAATTTCATCGCACTCGTTAAAGCTAATTGTCTATGAACAACCTCCAACTTGGGAATAGTGAAATAAGCTGACAATTCCAAACTGCGCTTGAGTTTCTCCGGTGATTTTGAAATTTCATCAGCAGTACCAATCTTCCGCCTTGAAATTTCGATAGCCATTGCTATACTATATTCTGATGCTGTCGTGATGAGTTTCTTTGCCTCTGATACCTCGGAAGCGGTTGAGACAGCGTTCACAAGCAGAGCATGAAGGATACCCTTGAATATAGTAGCGCCATCTTCAAGCTTATTTTGTCGCATGGCATCGTATCCTTTCTGTAAGTCGATGGTTGCTAATGATTCAATATCTCGTGGTATGATAGGAAGAACCTTACGAGGATCTGTCTCATCAACTGTTCGTCGGACATAATTGACCAAAGGCGAAAGACTTGCGGACGCTGGGAGGTAAGTCTTTGATGCTTGGTAAATTTCCATGAATCTAGGTTTCAAAGGCTCGAAGTTGACGGCGCCAAGTTGACGATTGAGTAATTGCATTGCAGTTTCGAAAGAGCCGCCAGCAACATGATCAGCGGCGATAGGAGAATTGCGAGCCCATAAATCAGCCTCACTGCTACCAGCGCCAGCCTCTGCACTATCGACATTGACAAAGTCATTCTCAACCTCGGGGACGATATCATCACCCATATCCCATCCTGCAGCGTCTTCATCATCATCATCGGCCTCAATAAGAGCACCAGTCTTGGCTTCATCATTTCCAGCTTCGTCAAAACCGAATCCGTTTGCAACAGCGGAAGGTTCGTCCTCTAGAGAGAGTCCCTCGACCTGACCAAGGAGGGCTTTCTCGAAGAAAGATTGCGAAGTTGCCTTTGTTGGCCAGTTTGCCTTGAAGGTAGGGATGACAGGCTTGGGAGGGGTAAGTGGCGATCCGAGGGTAGGCAATGTGATTTGATCTTTGGTGAGGCCAGTAGCCTCAAGAATTGATTCGCATTCTTCTGTAAGGCCATGTGATTTCGCGGTCATATAAGCAAGTGGATCTAATCTGGATTAGTATTTCGTATGTGAGTAGTGATGTGTTTAATGGAAACTTACAAAGGTCAATCTCCTTGAACATCTGTATCCTATCCTGAACATCTCCGAGATATAAAGCGTTCTGGAAACGGGCAGTGAAGTCGCCACGATGTTCCGCAATTTTGGCCATTCTCGTTAATTTTGCTTCGTCTCCAGTGGCCAGATACAGGAACGACAATTTGTCAAATTGTCGCAACTTCTGATATGTCATCTCGACAATCTGGTGATTACCGTGAGCTAAGGCTTCCGCTGTTAATCTGGACCACAACTTTGGTCGGTCTAACTGCTTGGCCATCTCAACAGCGACTTCCAAATTACCACACTCGATTGCCAATTCAAATCGAGTTTGTGGATCTTGTACGAATTGTAAAGCAATCTCTGGATAGCCCTTCTTTTGCAAATAAGAGATGATACTTTGACCGACCAGACTGGAATTCTTAATGATCTGCAACATCTCCTCGTAGTTTCGCTTCACAAGGGCAAGCTTGAAACGATACTCAGTAGGATCAATATTGAGAATCTTTGGCTTGGCGCTTCGGTCCAAACAGTACATAGTACGTGCCTTGACTCTGACAAGATAGACGGTTTGATCGAGAGTGCGAACAATACCATTGTCGCCGTTCAATAAAGTGTATTTAATGTGATTCAAGGTCGAGTAAAGAAGAACGCCTGCATCGTCCCAGGTTGCACTCTTGATGCGGATGGTTTCGTGAAGGGTGCTGACTTGTTCTAAAGATTTTGTAACAATCGTGACATTATGCTTGCTCAAGAGAGCTGCGTATAAACCGTCGTTAGACCAGACAACATACTTGACACCCGATACAGCAAGTTCAGCGGTTGCTTTCTTCTGCTGGATATCATATAAATGAACGGCAGTGGGGGTGATCAGCAAAAGATTACCGGTTCCACCAAAGTAGATATCGGTGGTTCCATTTGGAGGCTTGATGGTCTTGGTTGTGGAGTTGGAAAGATCTTTAATATCGATTTGTTGAGTTGTAGCATTGAAAACGGCGAATCTGTTTCGTGCTACAAAAACAGCAGAAGTACCTTGGCCTCGCTTTGTGTCATTCGAATCCATTGAACCCGCTCCATCTCGAGGAAGATTGATGAGTTCATATGAACCGCCATCTGCAGGAGAAGTGACCAAGACAGCTCTTTCGGCTGGATTATAGGAAAGTGATCTAGGTGGGACCCAAGGGCTTCCGAGTTTCTTCAAGGTCAATAGTGTTGGACTTTCAATATTCTTTTGGAAATCGTAAGATTTGACATGTTTATCCTTGGTGATGTAAAAGAGGTTGTTCTGATAGAAGGCAGATGCAGGACGTTCTCGCTCAAGTTTGAATACCATGACACCATTATCGTGTCCAGCAGCGAAAAGGTTTATCTCAGGGTGAGCTGCAATGACCCAAAATCTATCATTCTCTCGCTTGAATGACTGCACTGATGTACGTTTATTGAGATCCCAAACTCGGATAGTTTTATCTTCGCCAACTGACAAGATCAAGTCCTGATGAGGGTGGAATAAGCATCCAGATGCGTTTTGGAAATGCCCCCGGCAGGTATCGACTTCCCATGCCTTTGTTTCGCTCATTCGCCATAACTTCACAAGTCGATCATCACCAGCAGATACGATCAGAGGTAAGGTTGGATGGAAAGCTACCCAATTCACACCTCTATCGTGTCCTTCGAGTACGAATTTGACTACAGCATCGGTATTTCCAAACATATCTGCTTGGGCCTGGTTCCCTCTTGACATCTGGTCTTCGAAAGTCATCGAAGTTGGCGCCGAGTGCTTCTTTCGCAAGCCTGAAATATCCCAAACTCGAACCGATTGATCAAGGGATGCAGAAACTACCAAATCGTCTTTGGGATGGAATTGAGCGCACATCGTGTAATGATTGTGGCCGGTCATTGTGCAAACTGAAAATAATATTAGTATCGTATGCGAATACAATGTTGATCCATTCCCAGCTTACTTAGAGAGCGATTCTGCCAGTTCCATATTCTAATAGTTTGATCGTCCGAACTGGAAATGATCCAAGGAAGCTCATGATGAAAGAAAACTGTGCGAACATAATCTAAATGACCATTCAAGGTAAATAGACATCTGCGAGTCTGCAATGACCAGACCTTGATCTTGTAATCATCACCACCGGAGACAAAGAGGGGTTGTGTCTTGTGGAAGTCAATTCCTCGAACTGGCCCATCATGCTCTTCAAATCTATCAATCAATGTTCCCATGCGATAATCCCATAGCTGAATGGTCGAAGAATGTAAAGAAACTAGAATCCATGGCCTATGAATATAGTTAGGTATAGGTGTTGCGCATTGAATTTGTGAACGAACCGTTTAGGATGGAAAGCAATGCCCTTTGCTCTGGAAGATTTCGACTCGAACTTATATACGTGTCAGTATTACAACCCCATTGGACGAGCTTCTCAGTTTCAGGGTAAGAGATCGCGACATACCTTCGTCAGCATCGTAGGGGAGGAATTGGAATTAGATGCCATGTTGACCGATGCTCTGAATGACGAACAGCCCTATACGTTGCGCATCAAGTAACTGGGCGAATTAAATTAATCTTCTCCTGATATGACACTTTCTCAAGTACAGTGCACAGTATTCTGGAGAAAGACGTAAGAAGAAAAGATATCCGGTGGTTTGTTTGAAATTAAGGTAAAGTACAGGAGGATATGGTATTAAACATCGAAGCGTGTGAAATGCGACGTTGCTGTTTCCCGAAAATAAGGCATCAACACACTCAATTGACAAGGCTGCCACCCAATTAGCACCAAAAGCTTCACCAGCCACAGGAGCTCGAAACAATCCCTGAACCACTTTTGGTTGGAGCTCTAGATTATG